TGTCCTATTCCTATTTTCATTGGACACAAACTGAGACAAGAATAATTGTAATGACATAGTGCTTGTAGACAGAAGCCATACGAAAAAATTGTGATTGACTGATGATTCACTTGGCAATATAGGAAGAGCTTGCAATGTTGAAATGAGATCTCTCTCTCCTGAACGGCTACATCAATAACCACTGCTTTGGCTCTTACGCCCTTTGGCTTCTTCACTTGACATACCCGGGATCACGCACACCTCTCCATGACCCCAGGCACAAACGTTATTCCCTGCTTGCAACAATTTCAACGGGTTTGCAAACTAAGTCAACGAACTGTCTCTCCCTTTCAAGCTTGGTCCGTGTTTTTTTTCATTTCTTCTTTTTTTTCTCTTTTTTATTCTTTACCCTTTTGTTACTGGACTTTGAACCGTTTTAATATTTTTTTCCCTTGACTTCAATTTCGTCAATGTCTTTTTTGAACTTTTTTTCTCTTCCTTTCATTCATTAGAGTTGAATCGGGTACAAAGAGAATTCTCATAAAAAAAAAAAATCTGCTGGAATATCTCAATTTACCTGATCAATGGGCATTCCCAGTCCATCGGCGATGAATTGGAATCTCCGTGATCCTAAATAGAACTCCTCCCAATGCGACTCGACAGTAGCCATACTGCGGGAGGTCGAGGAGAAGCGACGAGCAACAAGTCTTCTCCCTTTGACGGCCAGCAGAGCACTGAGCGTTTGGGACTGACACGGCCCATGGTCTTTCGTCATATTTGATTATAATTCCTTGTGTTATTTTCGCTTTTTTCAAGTTGCCCAATTCGTGTACATTTAGATGGATATCTCCAAAAGTTTTTATATTTTCTTGTCTTTCGATTGTGGAGTGTCTGGCACAATGTCAAAATATATCGACGTACATAAACAAGCAAAGATTGAGAATTGGACGGAAAGTTGAGAATAAAAACGAAAACTGATGAAATTCTCCAAGATGTCAAGATGCCGATGACCTTGAGCGGAAACCCACGCGTTCATCCTTTTATTTTGATCTCTTGTTCATAGTAAAATTTCTTTTTATCTTCCAAAACACGAATAATGATAGAAAAGGTATGGGAGAGAGAATTCTGACTCGTGATGGGAGTGCCCTTTCGATCATAGACTGTCAAATCACGTGACAATTTTAAGTCATGACGTCATGCAAACAGGAAAGAAAACAAAATTGTGATTGAATTGAATGAGTTGCAAAGGGTGTAAATTAATAAAGGTGCAACAATCTTGGAGCATTTATCAATCACTTTCACAAAATATTATTACAATCTTATCCACTGCCTGTCAATTCTGCTTACCCTGGAGCCTGATAACTGCTGAGTATTTGTGATCGAGCTCTTAATAAGCATCTGTTGAGTATGCACATGCAACAGATCAATAAACGTTAGAGGTCATTAAACACTAGAAAGCTATGTAACGTATCTTATCATAGGGCTTCGATGCGAAATTTCGACGTACACAGTATGGTATTCTGAGTGTCTCCGGCATTAGATAGTTACTGAGGGACAGTGAATAGCAGTCATAACAGGGAATTCTAAAGAGTTTGCTGAATTCTCGGCCTTGTGCCAAGGGGTGAAGAGGAACACATTGCTCTTTCTCAGTCCCTTGCTGCTTCTAGCAGTTAGTCTATCAGTCCGTGCGTCGCAGTGGGCGTGCAGTATGGGAATATGAAGTGAGTTTCACTCTTTGTGCGTGCATGCATGTATGCACATATGTATGTACACACACATATGTGTATATATATATATATATATATATATATATATATATATATATATATATATATGTGTGTGTGTGTGTGTGTGTGTGTGTGTGTGTGTGTGTGTGTGTGTGTGTGTGTGTGTGTGTGTGTGTGTGTGTGTGTGTGTGTGTGTGTGTGTGTACGCACACATATATGTATAAATGATATATATACATATCTGTGTGTGTGTTTATATGTATGTATGTACATTTCTCTCTCTATCTCTGTACATATACATATATATACATATAAATACATATATATTTCTTTTTTTGTCTGTCTCTCACCTTCTCCATCCCTCCTCCCTTAGCCCTCCCCCTCCTTCCCTTTCCTTTTCCCTTCTCTCCCCCTTGCTCCTCCCCTCCATCCTTCTCCATCCTCCTCCCTGCCCTCCTCCTCTTTTCTCCTCCTCTTCCCCTCCTCCGTCCTCCTTTCTCCCTCCCTCCTCTTTTCTCCTTCCTCTTCCCTCCGTCCTCCTTTCTCCCTCCCTCCTCCCTCCGTCCTCCCTTTCTCCCTCCCTCCTCCCTCCCTCCTTTTCTCCTCCTCCTCCTCTCCTCTCCTCCTTTCCTCAGTATCCATCCCACCTCCCTTCTCCTCCTCCCTCCTTCCCATTGTCCCGCCCTCCTCCTTCTCCCTTCATTGTCCTCCCTCCCTCCTTCCCATTGTCCCTCCCTCCTCACTATCCTCCCACCTCCCTTCTCCCTCCCTCCCTCGTTCCCATTGTCCGTCCT